AGGACCTACCTTAAAAAGAATCCATTGTAACCAAGCATGATTTAATATATTTTGTGTTATTAATTGTTAGATTGAAGACAAGATGAAAACTTATGAAGAAGAAATAAAGAAGTTAAAGAATCAAATAGAAGAAGGAAAGAAGTTACTGTCTCAGATGAAACACTCTAGTTCATCAAATGATAATTCAAAGGTAATTTGAAGTTGTATTTGTTAATTGCACCATTAATGTGCCTCTCCAAAAAGAAGTCATAGAAATCTTGCCTGGAAGAAGTAATAATGTAAGCTCCGTGTATATATTTGGGAAAGAAAATCTTCAAATGAATTTCTTGAAGTTACTACCAACTATCATCTATAAGTTTTAGAGCAGGATGAACTTTGAAGCATTTTGATTGGTTAAACTTCTTTAATGTCTTCGGATCATAATTTGAGTGATAAGGGCAAATATAAAATATCCAATTGGCGTCTGACAATAAATTATTTCAGGAATCCAAAAAAGACAGTAATGAAATATCATCATTGAAAACACAGCTAACAGCTGAAAAATTTAATGTCATAAAAATTCGTAAACAGCTAGAGGATCTAAAATCCGGTCAAAATACAACTTCTTCAGATGTAAGTACCTAATGATGAGTCAGATTTGAATTTGAAAAGGGACGCTGAAAGCTGAATCTTAATTTCGTGAGCTAGTGGAGCAGATATTTAGATGGCTATATTTTCTTGATTTTTGAATCACTATCACATATTCCTCTCTAACTAATTTGTCTAAAATAAAATAAATAATGGTCAAGGAGCTTATAGTCTGTACAGTAAACCAAGAGTAAAGCCATGTGACTTTTGAAGGGGATCATTAGACAAGCTCTATCACTGACTTTTGCACTAGCACTGTTCATTTACTTTTCAGGGTGATGATAAAATCAAAATGTTACAAGAACAACTTGATAAGAAAAGTAAAGAAGCTGACAGATATTTAGCTAATTTTAAAGAATTATCGAAAGAGAAGTCTGATCTTGAAAAATCAAAAGAGAAACTGGAAGCTCAAAAATCCAGACTAAGTAAGAAAATGTTTTATTTTGCCCCTCACAGCACGTCTTCCATCTTATCTGTACCCTTGTTAGCAGCCAGTGGGCGTGCTAGTTTTGATTTTCTTTAAGTTTGAAGCCAACAATGCTATTAAGTGACTTAGTTAGGGTAAATTAGGGATATCAATATGTTTAATACTTGTATCTTAGCAACGGTGTGAATAACCACAGCCTAAAACATACTTAAAAACACAAAACTTTCTCCATTATGTTTTAGAATTTTTAGCCACAGACATCCATTTTTAATCCCAAACTACACATTGCTTATTGGAAAAATGTTTGTATTAAAATCATCAATCCTTTTAATTGCAGCTTTCCAATTAATGAAATCTAAGGGATTGGACCCAACTAAAACCAGTAAATCTTCAGACAGCAAAACAGAAGGTGAAAATCCAGCAGAAAGTGGAAAATCTAAAGAAGAAATAACAGATTCAACTCCAGTGAAAGAAACAGTGTCTCCAAAACCTGTGTCATCTTCAAAGTCAAAACTGACCACTCCTCAAAGTAACTCTAAATTAGCACCAAAATCTCTTGCTTCCAAATTACAACCGCCAATATCCTCAGAGAAATCTCAAGATACTGAAACTGGTTCCAGTGCCTCTAAAGAGATTACCCGCCTTCCATTGTCAGGACAATCTAAATTGAAAGCCCCTTCCTCTAGTAAATTACCATCAACAACTTCCAACAGTGGTTCAAAGTTACGTACAACACGATCCTCTGCCAGAGCAGAAAGAGACAGTTTAGGGAAGAGAAAGTCTATGGAAGCTGAAGAAGGTGCTCCAGAATGCAAGACATCTCTCAAGTCGAGGTTAAATGACACTGAAACAAAAGAAGATGTAACTGGTAAAAGAATTCGAAGTGAATCTACTGATAATTCAGCACCTGCTAAACGTTCTCGACCCAGTGATGAAATGAAACCAGGTATGGATTTTCTGTGTAGCCTTATAGATCCTATAGATCGTTCCTCAAGTAATTAAGCTCCTAGTCACCACTCATAGGTAAAAAATTGACAACTGTTTTTAACCTCAATGGAATATATTTCAGCAGAAAGCAATGAACCAGTTAGGAAGATAGCTACCAGAAGAATACAGCCTCCTGGTTCTAGATTAAAACCACCATCAGCTGGTTCATCATTACCTAAACCACAAACATTTACCCGGTCTAGTGCTCATAAAACTGATAATAAAGTAAGAATTTGACTTATTAATCATTTTGAAGAATAAAGATCCTCATTGTGCAGGTCATATGTGCCCAATTATACATTACATATTCAAGGAGAAAACAAATGGAGCAAAGCCATTACATTAAATGACAAACCAAAATCATAATGAATATACCAAATTTTCTTAAAAAGGCCCACTAATTCCTAACTGTCAAGTGCTGCATCCATGAAAGGTCAAACAGAATTCCATGGAAAACATTAATCTGTCCTAATTGTGAAATTGTGATCATGATTATAATACCTTACTCCATTGTTTCAGATATCTGACCCTAGTGCTTTATCAACAATAACAAACAGTCCTCAAAAAACAAGACCAGCAGATGACAAGCTAAAACGAGCCACTCAACGATCACTAAGCCTCAAAAAATCACCAGAAATGAAAAACTTGAGAAAACCTGTTGCAAAAGCCACAGAAAACCCCGAAAGCACAGATCCTAAAGACTGTAAAGTTCAATAATATTAAACTGTTTATTGTATTTATTTTTCAGTAGTTTTAGTCTTGTTATTTACAAAATTATTATTTAGATATTTATGATCATTTAGATGTAAATAATTTAGTTTTATTCCAAATTCTTATACCTAATTCCAATGTAACTTGTTCATATCTGTTCCTTGCCATATTTTCATTTTTGTGCAATATCATCACATTTCATTGTCAAGTAATGTGTGCCAGGGTTCAATTTAAGCATAATTCATTGCAGTTGGCAATTCAAAATGACCCTTTTTGCGACCCAATATTTCCTTGGATTGGAAATTTATTACGAACAATCTGCAAATTAATTCAAATTTTATATTTTTCGTGAGAATTTTTAACCAAATCTAGATATATATATGGCAACTCTATGGCAAGATCTTTTTGAGATTTACTACTGGATAATTGCTGTTCAAATTTTTCAATCTCAATTGAACCCTGATACAACAAACAATTGACTTCTAACTGTGCATATATCGGAATTTTCTTCTTATATCACTCTAACATTGTCATATACTGTGCTATATCTTTTAATACTTGGAATTGGGATTTTTATTAAAAAAATAAAAGGCTTTGTTTACAGATGCTTTTCATATATTTGTATATTTACTGTGAAATCAGCTATTCTTGTCATACAAAACTATGTATGGTTCCTATAGGGAGATAACACACACGAACATAGTTCACAACCATTTTGAATCACTACCTCGACTTAATCACATTAAAAGGTTTAGATAATAGATTTGAATGTGATTGTTTGTGAACTACTTTCTTGTGTGTTATTTCCAGTAGTTTCCTATGCCATCCTTGCCTACTTTCTTGGTTATAGAATTTCTTTAATAAATTATTCTTTTCGCTCATTTTCGAATTCAAAGATTTTCTGAACATGGCTAAGAATTGGTGTGGTTGTTTTTCCACTTTTGTTTTTCCTATCAAGTTTCTTTTCATTCATTTCATATATAATATTATTAATGTAAGTTCTCATGTTGTAATATAATCATATTGTTATATACTCATACTTGTATTATTATTATCATTATTATTAATATGACCTCTAGCTGTTTATATTTGGATTTATAATACAAATAATAAACAGTTAAAAACTCTTGATCTTTAAACTTTGTACAGTTCCTCTATTATCCCTGTTTTTGATACACTTGCAATAGTCCTTTCACTACAATCTGATAAATTTTTTACTTAACCAGCTGATAAAGCGCAATTTCAGCAATCTGCTTCTAAAATTAGAAACAGGATTCTCATAGAATTCATTAAAACTGTACAGCTTTCTGTAGTTATAACCAGAAAGTTACAATGTTCTCTAAATATTAGGCTTCTGTTAATCATGATGTACTGAATGGGTCTGGGTATGAATATTTTAAAATAACAGCCTTGATCTTACTTTTAGAAATGGCCATGTCCTTGAAAGGGGACACATAATAAATATTGCTGGTGAAAGTTATTCAGTATATTAATGTTCTTAAACACAATGTATTTCATAGTGAAAAGAAAAATAGACTGGAACTGCTTAAAAATAACCTCCAAATGTTATTAATAAGGAAGTAAGTGAACCCTCATTAATTAACCAAAAAATAGACAAACAATAGCCAGGTGTCAAAACAGTATTGATTATTGTCAGCTTAATTATTTTATTTTTAATTATCATGACCCACTGGCCATTTATTGCACTTCAAAATTATATTGGTGTTTAAGTGATAACAATTGGTATTAAAATCTTACCAACAAAACAAATATTTTTTGTGTTGCTTAGGGGTACTAATCTTTGTAAAAATGTCATCATTTTGTCTACTAAGTTTTTGATTTATGGTGTTATATGTTTAAACTTATATAATGAGATTATCTATTGAGTCTATTAACATAAAAGTCTTGGTGTTCTTGATTAGACCACCACTCGCCAGACTTTCAGTAAGGGAGTTATGATCGTTTTTTTTTAACGCAAGACCAGTAGATTATAATGGAACATCGAGAGGTGCCTTTTCTGTGGCTTTCGGACGAATTTTGTCTATGGTAAGTGAAGTATTTGTGTCGTGTTGCACATTGAAATAATAAAATAGTTGTTGTCTGAAGTAAAAGTACTATTTGAGTAATCTCTCTTTTATTTGAATCTTTTTATCGTGAAGATCAAATTTGGTAATTTTAGAAATTTGCAAGTCACAAAACAAGAAAATCGTGCATTATATGGTTCAAATTTATTCCTATTCAACAAAATATGACGACCGTAGCTACAGACAGTGTACGGGAGAAGGCTCTCGCCGATTATCGCAAGAAATTATTAGAACATAAGGAACTTGAAGCCAGGTTGAAAGAGAGTAAGTGGACTGGGAAATATTCCATTGGATTTTGAAACTCATTGATTGGCATTTTAGAAGAAAGAATACAACTTACTCAATGACATGATAAAAAGTGAAAAATCATCGCAGATGCTTTCCTGATTATGTCTCCCAAATTGTGTTTTGGTTTTTTATGATATGACATCTGTGCTTATTTCCTAGTTGGCAGAAGCCTACACACTGTTTCTTTGCCTCTTTGTGGTATGGCATCTTCGCCTTGACTTTAGTTGCTTTGCCTAAAAGTTATTCTAGTGATAGGCATGTAATATCTTTTAATCATAATGAAATATTTTATGTATCAATTATTATTTCAGTGAGAGAGACCCTGAAAGACCTGACCAAACAATATGATAAATCTGAAAATGATTTGAAAGCACTTCAAAGTGTTGGACAGGTGAGTTGGCTTATTATTTGGGGAAAATAAATTTCAGTTGTTATTTTAATTGATCAAGATCATTTCTAGAGTAGAATAACTGTCTAACTTCTGACATGTTGTTGCTGATTTCAATTTTGCCAGTTATTTTCATTTCTGTATGACATGATGTTTAAATTTGACATTTTTTTTTCGCAGATTGTTGGTGAAGTTCTCAAACAGTTGACAGAGGAAAAATGTAAGTTTTCAAGCTTTTGTTTAGCTGGGGTTCAAGCCTCTTGACAACATTAATGATTTAAACTACCCAATGATGTAAAATATAACATGAGGTAGAGTCCAAGTCTGATTTTATCTTTTTAATCTTTATCTTACTGTCATCTTATCTTTTTCTATTTCATCCCTCTTTTATACTGTTCTAATTTATCTGTCCTATCTTCTCTCTATCTTTCATTCATCCACCCATTTTTTCTGTCATCCCTTTCTATAAAATCAGACTGAAGACAGACACTAATGATACATGGATTATGAGAGCTGAGGGTAGAAAAAAAAGTTATTGGTTTTTGGCTGATGATTGGTTCAAAGCTGATGTAATCCAGAGGAATTATAATGCATTATAGTTGGCCATGTAGAGGATTTTGCAATATTTTGTATATCATATCATAATCTAAAATATTGTGATGACTTACTGTGACAGTAATAAATCCATTTTCTAGATAGGGTAATGGTTTTAAAACTGATTGTTTAATTTGTAGGCATTTACCACGGGAAGTTGATCCATTAGTTTATAATATGTCAGCTGAAGATCCAGGTAGTGTTAGTTTCAATCAGATTGGTGGTTTATCTGAACAGATTAGAGAACTCAGAGAGGTAAGCTATGATTATTTTACATCAATGTTTTCCAGGAGGCATCAGACTATTTGTGAAGTAGAAGATGACCCCATTGTACCAGATTGTATTATTAATTTATCCATTGACTGTGTTACTGAGAGAGGTTATATTTTATTGTCATAGCCATGTTTCATTATATGTTGCTAATCTTTGACAACCTGTTCAAACGTTTAAAATCAACGGAGCAAGGTGCAAGTTGCAGACTATGCAAAAGAATAAATAAGTAATTTGCTCATCCAAACATTGGATTGTTAAAACTCCAGTCTATACAAGCTTTTTGGATGGGCTTTACACTTATTATTTATGTTTCAAAAGCTCGAAGGGTATAAAATTTTTAAAAATCTATCATTACAGGTTATTGAACTGCCATTGTTGAATCCTGAATTATTTCAACGTGTTGGTATCACACCACCTAAAGGATGTTTATTATATGGACCTCCTGGTACTGGTAAAACATTGTTAGCTAGAGCTGTTGCTAGTCAACTAGATTGTAACTTCTTAAAGGTGAGTTTTCTTAATTAATTAAGAAACCATTAAGAGTTTGAGGGTCATTTACATGTATTTTTCAAGATAAAGTTTGAATATTCTATTCCCAAATCAAACCACTGCGTAAACTACCATTTTGGTTATGTTCTATTCTTTAGACTATTCTCTGGTGTTCTAGAAGTGAACACATACTATGTCTCTTGTGACACTGAAAGCATTGTGCTTCTAATATATTCTTTTGTATATTTTTAAATGTAATGTGATAAATTCTTTGAGTTCAAGGAAATGCTGATGAAGAAATTTCCATTCAAAACTAAATCACATTAGCAACTCATTAAAAAACCTAATTAATTGAATATGTATGAAACTAGGATCAAGGTGAAAATCAAACCCAATGATGTAAAATATAACATGAGGTAGAGTCCAAGTCTGATTTTATCTTTTTAATCTTTATCTTACTGTCATCTTATCTTTTTCTATTTCATCCCTCTTTTATTCTGTTCTAATTTATCTGTCCTATCTTCTCTCTATCTTTCATTCATCCACCCATTCTTTCTGTCATCCCTTTCTATAAAATCAGACTGAAGACAGACACTAATGATACATGGATTATGAGAGCTGAGGGTTATAAATTTTCACTTTTTGTCCAAAAATGAAACTTTGTACATCACCATCATATAATAATAATAATAATCCATTTTGTATGGTACTGGTACATTCAGTAAATCTACTCGTATAAAGCCGTATTAAAATAGTAAATGAAAATTTAGCAACTTTGTTCTATGGATAGGGGCAATTTAATCCATTCACGAGGGGAAGCAAAACAGAAAACTCTATCAAATACTGTTGGTGTTTGTTATATTGAAGTCATAATCTGGTTAAGTTTTTGAAAATGTTGAACAGAAAGATGCTAGAAAACCCTGTTTGAATTCTTTTAATCCTTCAGAAAAATATGGGCAGTGTATGTGAATTTTTAATCAATATTTATCTTGTTGTCATTATAATATTTTGTAATTGTGTTTAAGGTTGTATCAAGTGCTATAGTTGATAAATATATTGGTGAAAGTGCTAGGTTGATTAGAGAAATGTTTGCTTTCGCTAGAGATCATGCTCCCTGTATTATATTTATGGATGAAATTGATGCTATTGGAGGTCGAAGATTCTCTGAAGGTACTTCAGCTGACAGAGAAATCCAAAGAACTTTGATGGAGGTAGGTGTTTTTCAACTTCAACCCTAAAAATGTCCTTGAATAAGAGTTAATTGGCAAAAACTTGATTGTGTTAAATTTTTCGATAAATCATATGAGCAGCATAAGGAAACCTTCTGAACAGGACTGTGTTGTTTATAATATGGTTATAATTTTCACTGTGTTGTTTATAATATGGTTATGATTTATACTGTGGTGTTTATATGGTTTTGATTTATACTGAGTTGTTTACAATATGGTTATAATTTATACTGTATTGTTTATAATATGGTTATAATTTATACTGTGTTGTTTATAATATGGTTATAATTTACACTGTGTTGTTTATAATATGGTTTAATTTTATACTGTGTTGTTTATAATATGGTTTAATTTTATACTGTGTTGTTTATAATATGGTTATAATTTATACTGTATTGTTTATAATATGGTTATAATTTACACTGTGTTGTTTATAATATGGTTATAATTTATACTGTGTTGTTTATAATATGGTTTTAATTTATACTGTGTTGTTTAAAATAAGGTTGATTTTATACTGTGTTGTTTATAATATGGTTATAATTTATACTGTGATTTATACTGTGGTGTTTACAATATGGTTATAATTTATACTGTGTTGTTTATAATATGGTTATGATTTATACTGTGGTGTTTATAATATGGTTATAATTTACGCTGCATTGTTTCTAATACCAGTTATGATTTATACTGTGTTGTTTATAATATGGTTATAATTTATACTGTATTGTTTCTAATATGGTTATTATTTATACTGTGTTGTTTATTTAGTTATTGAATCAGATGGATGGTTTTGATGCATTAGGACAAGTTAAAATGATAATGGCTACCAATAGACCTGATACTTTAGATCCTGCTTTATTACGACCTGGTCGTCTTGATAGAAAAATTGGTATGTTTTGTTTCATTTTCAATATCTTTACCTTGTTTGTAAATGTCCAACAAAATTGGTTTTAGGTTTGTACAGTATAAAGCTTTGATTTGGCTGTATTTGCCAGCAACAATCATCTAATATCATTTATTTCTATTAAAAAATGTCTTAACAAATACCATATGTTCTAGTTTGATTAGCAGGTAGCAGGGTATTAACTGGAATTTCATGAATGGATATTAATTTTATGGTCTGTTTTCAGGCTGAATTTTCTTTCACCTACCCAATGATGTAAAATATAATATGAGGTGGAGTCCAAGTCTGATTTTATCTTTTTAATCTTTATCTTACTGTCATCTTATCTTTTTCTATTTCATCCCTCTTTTTCTATTTCATCCCTCTTTTATACTGTTCTAATTTATCTGTCTTATCTTCTCTCTATCTTTCATTCATCCACCCATTCTTTCTGTCATCCCTTTCTATAAAATCAGACTGAAGACATACACTTATGATACATGGATTATGAGAGCTGAGGGTAGAAAGAATATCTGCAATTTTTGGTTTCCATTTTGGCATTTGTTATGCATTAACTTAATCCTTTAACCCTTTTCAGAAATCCAGTTGCCCAATGAACAAGCTAGGATGGAAATTTTAAAGATTCATGCCTCACCAATTGCCAAACATGGAGAAATAGGTACATTTTCAGCCTTTTTTTTTTTAGTCAAATTACCTCCCTTTACCCATGAGGAGAGCAAATTCAGCAGTAGGTGTGGTACATTTGAATACTTCAATAATTTTCTTTATAAAGACATCAAAGATTAAACCTTGTATTTTAAATATTTAACAACTTTTATGAAATTGTTGAACGCCCCCATTAAGCAAGGTGGAGAATTTAGATTTAACATCAAGAAACACTGATGATAGTAATAAATAGGTAGTATTTCAAGAATTCGTTAAAGCTGAAATTAGTGTATCTTATTGTTATATCTGATATATGTTGTATATGATATTTAATATTATCTGTAGATTGGGAAGCTGTAGTTAAATTATCAGAAGATTTTAATGGAGCTGATTTACGTAATGTTTGTACTGAAGCAGGTAAGTTGTATTTCTCTTATGGGGTTGTAGCTTATTTGATAAGTAGTTGAGGGGTAACTTGACTTGTTAGCAAGTAAGCTACCTGATCTCAGGGTCAGAATCAAACCTTTCAGTTATCATACTTAATTCCAGTCACTTAATTTACCGATCAATGATTCTGTATATTGTAAATCCCATTTGTGTTATTAAATTGGGAATTTTCGTGACGTTGAATAGTCATAATGTATGTGAAATATATGGGGTCATTTGTCTTCTGTAACTGAAATGTTGGTCTGCCTACTGAAGCAGTGGCATAGCAAGGATTTCATTAAAGGGTGCATCTGACCAACCGCCGACCGGGCATCCTGTCCCAGATTTTCGAGGACACTAGTCATGATGGGGGTCAGGGTAGACTCCCCTAGAAAATTTTCCTATGTGGAAATCTGGTGAATAAGCTTATACCGAACACAATTTTGGAAGTGAAAGTAGAATAAATTTATTTTTTAAAACCTGAAGGACAGGCTATGGCCCAAAAATTACCTCATCAAAGGCCACTGTACTGAAGGGTTTCATGTCATAACTAATTCACGACCCTTTGAGGTAATATATATGAAACAGAGGCTTCTTATGTATTGCTTAGAAGTATAGTGTATGACCCACAGTTTAACATTAGTCATTTAAAATTAACTTATTTCAGGAATGTTTGCTATAAGATCAGAGAGAGATTATGTTCTAGAAGAAGATTTTATGAAAGCTGTAAGAAAAGTAGCTGATAATAAGAAATTGGAATCTAAATTAGATTATAAACCAATCTAAATTTCATATATTTATATTTCATTGTTCTAATTTGTAAATAAACCTCCATTGTTTCTCATTACTGGATTGGTTTCTTCTGTACATCAAAAAACTTGTCAAACTTTACCAAGCAAACTCAAGTTATTCATTAGAGTTGCAATTGAAACTGTTGCACTTTGTTCTTATTTGCAAATATAAGCAATGGCTATGGTGTGAGGGCACCTTAACACTGGTAGCTGTATTTCAGCTTTAAAATTAAACACAACAAACATGATTATAAACAATTTAATGTTTTGTTCTGTAGAAGAATATTACTATAGTATACAAATTTATTAAACATACAAAAAACTCTGCATAGTGAGACTTCAATATATATATATATATACAATATTTCTGCCTTATATTTATCACATTGCATCATTGCCCTTCTCTAATATAAATATATTTACAATTCTATACTCAAACTATTTTTTTTCTTAATCAATTGGTTACAATTTATAATATTATTTACACATAAAGAGATTGTTAAGAGGTTTTTATGTGTATGGGGGACACTGATAGTATCAATTTGCACCATTTCAATTTTCAATCAGATGTCTGTGGTTCTCTCACTAAAACTAAATGTTTGATGATGTCACTAAACTCAAAGGCCTTATGTCATACAAGACAATTTTGCTTATAAGTGACATCATCAAACACTTAGTTGTAGTGGAATTGCAGGAACCACACACGTTTAATTGAAAATTGTCATTGTCCCTGATACATAAAAAACCCATTTAAAATCCCTATAAGTGTCATTTTTCTGAAATAATCTAATGAAAATTCAATTCCTTTCGAAAATGCCCATAATTTGGCAAATTTCACTGTCTTTTTTTCATAGTTTAAATTGCACAAAACTCAATGCAGAAGATATTTTGAACAGATCTACAAAAATACTGTAAATTTTTACAGGTAATATCTTAAGTTTTTGAGGTAGATAACCTACTGTGAGCAAGTCATTCTAATAAATGATATGCATATTTCATCAATAATAAAGTTAACAATCTTCATTCTCAACTAAACCATCATCAACAACTAACAAAGAAAAATATTCGTTGAAAATATTAGCACTAGTTAAGAAAATAATAACATTTTTTATACAACAAGATCGATCTAAGCACTCTGATATGTTAAAGTTTCTTGCATGTTTTTTATTTTTGCATAAGCTATATTGAACTTTTTATGTAAATTTTCTTATTAGAGAGAAAACTTTTTTTTTTTTTGGTTGAAACATGCTCCATAACTAAGATATAGCCAGGCATTGATTCTTTTAGATTCACGATGATAACGGTATAACAGCTTCATCTTATATCTTGACTACCATGGCCCACTTTCCTGATTCTTGATCAGCAATTTGATTGGATTGTATGGCAGCAAATACAGCCAATCAGAACCTTCGATTTCATGTGTCACTATTTTAAACAGTGTTTTTTTCAAAGGCTCAAATTGGATGTATCTGCTAGTATATAATCCAATCAAATTCACTATATTTCATGAAACGAGAAAGTGAGCCATTGCAGTCAAGGTATAAGACCATTCTGATGGGATTTTTTAAAACTGTAAAGTAACCTGAAAGATCTGGATTGAAATTTAGCTTGCATCATTTTAGATTTTCTTATAAGGATGTGATCAAAACAATAATTATTTGAGATTCTACATTCAAGATGTTTATATTGAAGTTGGAATGAAATAAACAGTCTGAAGAATGTTATATAAAATAGCACTGATATATCTTGTCACAACACTAGAATATTGTATTGCACTAGAAACACTACCAATAACTTGCTGGATCAATCCACACTTTAGGGAGATTTAGGCCGAACTCTGGGATATAGCTGCAAAATAAAAAAAAAAGAGATTTTATAACGAGAAAAGTTTGTTTTGTTAGGACACACCTTTCCAATTATGAATTTTCAACCTCTACACAAAGAATCTGGTACTAGTCAAAGCTAAGACATTTTTCATTCAGAAGGTTGTTCTGTGACTTAAACTAAACAATTCACCTCAATCTTGACATTCAGGACAGAAGGTCTCAAGAAGAGCGTTATCATTCAGCGTCTGTCTCGGAAAAGCAGATATGGGCGCTAATACCATTTAGAGAATACACTGCCTCATTCACAGAATCCTGAAAGTTTTTCAGGTAAACACAGATTGAGTGCTACAACGTGGTTAATAATAAAATACATACCCCAAGTAAATTTTTAGCTATATATCCTTCTTTTCCATCTAATCTTGCCCACCACCATTCCTTTTCTTTCTCATCTCCTTTCCTTAATACTATCATTTTATCCCAGATTGCGAAACTCAATTCATCAGTGATAGCTGCTTCATAATCGAAAACAGCCCAAACCTCTCCATTGTGCATTATACCCAGTTTCTCTTGTATACCTAAAATACAAAAAAATTATAAATTTGAAACATCTTGGGAAAGACACAGCATTTAAAGAGGTTAGGTTAGAAATTGTTACAAATGAAATGGGGTTTTTGAATATTGGAGATAACCAAATTATTTCTGAATGCAATATGATACAAAATCAATATAATAAGTTATGTTGGAAACGAAAGGGCATGAGGATTTCAGCTAAATAATCAATTCTTTTAATGACAGAGTGGACAGAAAAAGTAGACTGCCACTAACAGTCGTTGTAATCACAGAAAGTACCACAATAGTTATTGAGTACTAGAAAGTTACAATACAACTTACTATAAAGATAATCAGAACAACCATCATAACCATCTTCATCTTCTTCACATTTCTCAGCTGCTGTTTCATGATCACTAATAGTAGTAGCAAATATACATGCACCATGTTCCACTAATAGTTTTACCATTGGTAGATTATTACAAGATGCTGCACAGTGTAATGGTGTCCTGGAATTTGCACACAAAAATCAATTAAGATTCAGGACAATGGAGGAGATGATATCCAGAGAGTTACTACTTTTCGGAACCAGATTTGGCTAATAAAGACAGGTAAAAGCAAGAGGAGACTTCTTCTAATGTTTGAAAAGTTCAAATCAACCAAGACTTACCAGCCATCACTATCTGGAGAGTTCACATCACAACCAAATTCTAACAAAAACTTTACAATTTCATAATGACCAGCACAAATAGCATTGTGTAAAGCTGTAATACCTTCATCATTGGGGGCACTCACGTCTGCTACCTACAAATAAAGATATCTAATTACCTCCCTTGCACTACACATCAGAAGTCAAATACTCTACATAAGATTAGATAGTACATTTTTGAAAATAGAATTCAGAAATTTGTAATAAAATATTTGCAATAGGTCCCATGAGAGAGACATTTTGACAGTTCAAGTTGTACAGCCTGTGTTAAAAGCCGAAAAAAAAAGTTTGTGCCCTAACCTGTGAAGCTGTTGTTTTCACCATCTCAAGTTCCCCTTCCAGTGATGCATCTAATAACAAGGCTAATGGATCGAAACTAACTCTATTTTTAGATTTATTTGGATTGTTGCCTTTTAGATTACTTCTTCCTCTTTTTACTACTTTCACTTTCTCTGGGGCTTTTATCTTTTCAGATTCCAAATTAAGTTGAATTTTACTATCCTTTTGTAGATTCTTATTGTCAGTTTGTTGATTATTATTGTCATTTTGTTGAATTTTTGTTTCATTTTGCTGAATGTTAATGATATTTGGTTGATTTTGAATGTCACTTGGTTGATTTTTAGTTGGTTGATTTTTAGTTGGTTGATTTTTAGTAGGTAGATTTTGAAAATCAGTTGACAGATTTTTATTATTACTTGCTTGATTTTTGAAATCAATTGAATGATTTTTAATTTCCTTTAACTGATTTTTATTGTCGCTTGGTTGAATTTTTGTTTCACTTTGTTGGTTGTTAGAAACCTTACTGGACACATTAGCTGAATTGTCAGATTTTGGTGGTCCAACAACATTGCTATTGTTTTTTTCTTTGGCTCGGTTTAACATTTTGGTCACCTCCTCATTTTCACTATCAGAATGTCTACGACGGATATGTTTAGGTGTGTTAAGTTTGTAGCTCACTTTATCAGACGTGATATTGGTATGCTGTGGTGAACCCATCATTCCAAAATGAGCATGAGATGCTTTCACTGGTCCAGTGGTTGAACTCACAGGTTGGCGTGTAGTAAAGGTCGTCTTCTGATCACTACTATTAGAATCTGTTGAACATGAACTGTTTGGTGAATCTTCTGTTTTGGAATCTTTAGGTTTATAAATTTCATTAAGATTGTTTTGATATTTGGCAAAAGCTGCACCACCCAAACGACTCATATACGTATTGGCAATGACACTCTTTGGTGCATATCTGTAAGAAGGTTTTTGACTACCATTTGGTGATGAAGGTTGATTAATTGTTGAATCAGTTGTTCCTGTGTTTGGAGTAGATGAGGCTTGTGGATGACCAGGAGCTGGTGAATCAAAAATAATTTTAGCAGAATCAACACTATCTAGAATGGATTTTGGTGTGTCTTGTGAACTAGATACAAGGAGTTGAGTTTTGATTCTTGGAGGTGGAGGTTGTATGGGTGCTGATTCTGGTAATGTAGTTCTGGATGGAACTGGGGGAGGAGGAGGTGGAGGTCGTGATGTAGGTCTGGTAACTGGTACTGATGATGCTATGGTTGGCGGTTGGGATATTCTTGTTCTCGGTGGTAAAGGCTGAGGTTGGGACTTGGCAATGCTCACCGTTGGTTGGGTTGATGGTGCTGTACTATTAGGAGATGTTTGTGCACCATCACTTGACGCCGGGGAACTTTGTCCACTTCCTGCTTGACGTTCCTCCTCAGTAATACTTATAACTGGTTGCTGCTGAACAGGCCCTGACACCCGATTAACAACACCTGCACTACTTCCAAATGGTTTAGGTGTTAAATTTGCAATATTACTCACAATACTTGGACGAGGAGGCAAATTTTGAGCGTTTGAACTCTGAGCACTAGTTTGAGGCAAACGGTACGAAACTGGGCGAGAAGTTGGAAATGAACTAGGCACAGTTCCACTCGATATCTTTTTATTCCATTCCGATATTCGGTTGTCTATTTTAGCCTGAACATTATTGTTATTCATTTCTTTGGGTCCATCGCCTTTTGACTTCAAAGCGCTTTCTACTTTTTTCGGTTTCTCTGGCACAGATTTGGAATTTTGAGGTAGAGATTGGAATTTTGGATCTTGCTTTAAATTGTGACCACTTTTGGACAGATCCTCTTTGGGAACCTTTTTACTGGGGACATGTTGAACATATGGTTCCACAGCAGCTATGTTTTGTATTGGTTTCTTTCTTTGATTTGCAGACATTCTATTTAAAGCTAACTGAGACTTTCTTTTCTTTAATCTTAGTTGCAATTCCTCAATTTTATCATCCATTTGTGACAGATCAGCTTTCTTCTTTTTATATACTTCTGGTCTTCCTGATAATTTGTTGGTTGTATATAGCTGATTTTTCATCTGTAACGAAAGAAAAGAAAAAAGTTTCACAAAAGCAAGAAGGAAAACTTATGAAAAATGGCCTTAGCCTATTTCTTCCAAATCAAGGGATCTGAAACATGTGTCCACATTACAGTCCTAGTGATGAAGGGGGTAAGTTCTTCTGTCACTGAAGCTGATACTTGTTTTCAGGATGTACGTAAAATATTGCAACACTCTGCAATGGTTATTGTCACTACTCAGGCGCAGAAATTGAACTCTTTCAAAAAACGCTTCTCTCAGAGATACAAATAAAATAGACCAAGTACATACCAATAATTCTTTTTTAAGTTTCTCTAATTCAGCTGCTGCAGCATCTCTAGTGTCCCCAGTAATACCATGTAATTTAGCATTTTTTAAATCTTCTAACTGTCTAGTTAGTTGTTCAACTCTAGCTACAGCCATCGAAAGTTCCTTTTCTTTCTCATTAAACATAGCTTTTACTGAATCTAGTTCTGTATCTAAAAAAATCATACATAGGTATCAATCTAGACTGTAGAATCTAACAAAATCTGTTCAAAGGTGTATTCTTTTGTGCACTTTTTTATGAAACATTAAGAATTTGCAGGTCATTGTGTATGTCCAGCGTTTCCAAGAATTGACCAGTGGGTCTCTGCTACAACTATATCTGATAGAATCAAAGAAAGACATTTAATAAAGGATATTTAAAAAAAAGAAGATTATTTAACCATAGCAGGACCTTTTTTGATTGGTCACTCATTTGAATTCTGCTGGTAATTCTCTTCTAATTTAGCTAATCATGAATTAATTATGGACATTATTAATTATGGTATTCATATAAGTATAAGCATTTTCATAAATGAAAATATGGGAACCCATCTTTAACCACGAAGGACATTTAACCTAAGAAGGATATTTTACCTAAGGAGGACATCTAACCAAACATGGACCTTGAACCAAACAAGGACATTTAACCAAACAAGAACGTTTCAAAGATTATTATGCCCATCAACAGCTCTCATTGTCATACGATATATGTATGCATATGAATTTTCATAAGATGTGTACTTACTAAGTATGACATTGTTGGCTTTCTGTTGTTCAACTTGACCTGGTAAGCTTCGTAACTTTTTTATCTTCATTTCCTGTGCATCCACCTTATCTCTTAATCTGTTTAATCGTTCACGTTCAGACGAAAGATGTTCATGTTGGTACTCCTGTTGTTTTAAGTATTTTAACCTCTGTTCTTTAGCCATGAGAATTTGTTGTTGATTGTCTATATGTTGTTGTTGTCTTGTAGCCATGTCTTGTAATTCAGTTATCGAGAGGTCCATTCCTCCAGGAATCTGGAAAGAGAAAAGGGTAAATAATTAAGCATTGGTAAGAGACTTGATAGGACAGGACAAAAAGATGGGTTTTGGGTTGATTTTGCATGGAAAGCTTCCATATTTTCGTTTCAATACGTTATTCTCTTCCACAACAAGTTCAAGCTGATCAGACTTACAATTAAATGTTTGTATAAGTTTGGATATCATCGTTTAAATTCTTGTCCATGTTAATTGAATTTGAAAACTATTTGTAAGTAAATGTAACATAGGCACAACCCATAGCAAGTATGTAATCTCAATGCCTTAAAGATGGACAATCCACAGTCATAGGCTTCACAAAAAATTATTTTATTAGCCAATAAGCCAGATCAAACAAAAAATAATGGAATATATAATTCCAAGCTATACTAATAATTCATTAAAACAATAGACCAACAGAAATATCAATAGCTTTCAGATAATAACACCTACATAATGGACCTTATATATTACTTATATTAACTAGAAAATATTATTAATTTTATATACTTATATATTAAAGGTATACTACCTCTAAGATTGACAAAAAAAAAGACTTGGCCAAATGAGTTTTTGTTCGTCAGTAGACTAACCTGGTGTCATAACTATACAACAGAATACCTCTATAATCAAATATATCTATAAAACTAGGTAATAATTCATTAAACTGAGTAATTTTGAAACAAGTTTAAAAGCTTTTTCAAGAATCATTTAGTTTAATGGATACATCGTCTTATATAGAGATTCTATTCTTTAGGCATGGCACCTGGTAATCCAACTGATGAATATATAACTTGTTGACCAAGTTTGAGACTTGAAATTGTATTGTTTCTATTCTAGGAGGTAGTATCTTTAATCCCAGGTTGACTTTTGTCTACAATAAATCCCCTTGATAAAAAATCAATACAGATATATATATATCATAAACAAAACTTTCCAATAAACACTGAATGGTTAGTGATCTCCTCATATATATCAATTGATCAATCTATAAGTACAAACTCCTGTTCAATAAGTCTATTTCTCGCCATATTAGTCCTATCTACAACAAGCAATCATAATTAATTATAATTCAAAATATCCTATAAATACCAATACCTTACACCAACTACCATATTCAAAGAGATTTAAATAGAATTAGATCTAATATCATTAACAGTTTGCAGTGATATAAATTTTAAAAGACAGAAATGATGAGCTGCCTACTTTTTAACATTTCAAGGTAAAATCTTACAGCCACATTTGACTAGTTTGTTATTGTAGCACAATGTCCAACATATTTTAATAAACTTACATGTATACAGTTAGAAATAAGACAATTATATATCCAACAATATATGTTATATGATAGTCACACTAAAACTGTTAAAGCTTTACTAATAATCAACTGCCATTTTGAATGTCATAGGTAATAATGGAATAGTACATATTTGAGTAATTTTTTTACCGCAATCAGTTTCTTCTTACATTCATAATGCCCAACAATTTCAAATTTCAATAAACTTACATGTATATAATTATTAATCCAACAAAATATGTTTCAGATGACCACAATTAAACTTTACTAAAAATCAACTGCCATCTTGAATGTCAGCAAGGGTAAAAACAACATGTTAATCAAATAGTAGGCCTACATGTCATGATGCAAAGAGGTTTTAATTTGCACTCTGAAGAGTTTGATTAAAGATGGATGACATCAGTCACTATTATATAATAATCATATCAAACTCTACATAATCAACTATAAATATAACTTTAGGTACACTCTATCTTTAAAATCTATCAAAATGATATAATGCCAATGTAATATTAATACACATTTTTAAACTGATTTGACCTTGACAAAATTTGAAAAATGACATGACATGACATAACAGTGACATGTCATTTCCTAAATGTGTTCAAGTTTATTGATAACAGTTCATATGTTATGTCGTTTTGCCAAAATCTTAGTACATGTAGTTATACAGATGTATCAAAAGTTTTAATCAAATTTCTTCCTTGG